TCGCGTGCGTGTTTGTCGGGGGTGGAGTCGACTTTCGGGGAGCGAATGGGATCACTGTTGCTATGGTGTCTGCGAGTTTCTGCGACGAGGGGCTCGGCGCGACGCTGAGGGCACTATGAGCTGCTTCTTTTTCCGGGATTCAAATTCTCCAGAAATCTTACTCAATGCGGGCTGAGAAAGCACTTTTTTTAGTTCGGAATGGCCTTGGAAGCCTGGTCTCCTTAGCGTCACGTATCTCCTGTGTGGCGGAATTAAAGGGGAGAAGGGGGAAGGGGGGGAGGGGGAGGAAGAGGGGGGGAAGGGGGGAGTGGGAGGGGGGAAAGAAAATGAAGCGTAATTGCCCCGTCACGATTTTTGCAGTCCAAACGTGATCCTTGTCCCATTCCAGCTTTTTTAAAGACGTCGCTAACAGATAAAAATTCATTAGGTGGATCCTTTTTCTTAACGATTATGTGAAGTCGGGGAAAATCCCTGTCGGAATGACAGGAAGGGACGGGTGGATTATCGACAGATTGTTCCATTAAAAAAAAAAATCTGCCGTAATCCCATGCGAATTATCAGTAGCCCGTCGCACCGAGGGTGGAAAGACTGCTTCAAGTTCGCCAATGAAAAGAGCAAAAGAGCCTGTCACCCCTGAATGACTGTGGAGAAGAGGAGTAAAGGCGGTAAGTTTCTCCACGGATTAGCATATGATTGGATTCCATGGCTTTCCGGGTGTGCCACGGCACTTTATCTGAAGCTCATCGAAAATTTATGCCGACTCGAACGTTTGTGAAAAATGAAGCCACGGGGATTTATTTTTTGAGGCGCACCGCCGCAAGTCGATATGACGCCTCGCGGTTTTATTTTTGGATTAGCTGTACGCCATATCGATCAATTTGGGGGACTGCCAAGTCCTACTCGGTAACTGTAATGACGAGACAGAGAAAAATATACATGATGATGGACTTTGGGGAACCAGCTGGGCGGGTCCAGGCCACTGAGTGCTCAGACGGCTTTCACTTCGTTTTTGCACGGGTGGCGAATGTCGGTCGAGGTTATTTCTTTTCTTGGACGTCGCCGGGACGGACGAAAATTGGGTGGGATTCGAGTCTCTTCGGTGAGACTCAATATATAATGTTATCATAATAAATAACGTTACCTGGTTTGTCAAGCTTTGGACGCGACTTGGTGACAGGGCACGGGAGTATTCAAAGCCTGGTGGTCGTGGAAGAGATTCCAGAAAACCCGCGCAAAAAATGAGAAAACTTTGCATCTCTCACCGCTCGAATGATGAAATGACGGATCAGTACAGGCCATCGCAGGCTCCATTGGGTTAGCCGCGTCCCTGGCGCCTCAAATACATTCATAATACCTAAATACCAATAGCAATACCTAAATAGAAAACGCGAGTCTTCTATTTCTCGACGGACTTCTCACGCCTTAGCGACCAGGCGGGGAGACCTTCGAGTCCATAACTCTGCTTTCTCAAACTCTGGATGAGTTGAAGACAGATGCATGAGGTCACTAGCGGTGATTCTCTCATTAGCAAGCGTAAAAACGCGGAAAAGTTCTGAAATGATAAAAAAAAATCCGGCTCCAGTCTTTGTGCCCTGCTAAGGCCAAGGTCCTTTTCCAACCAATTTAAATTGCAAAGCAGAAACAAAATAGACGATTTGGGCATTCATTTTACTATTGCTGTTGGACCTCCCAGTAGAAGGATTGAATAATCAGATTCAGTATGGTTCCCACCCATTAATATTCCTTTATTTGGAGTAAAAAAAAAAGGAAAGGGTAATAACACTCCTTCACGGGGCAAATGGATGAACAGATTCAGAGGATGACGATCTTCACTACGAGTGTGAGAATGGGTGATCGCTCAAAGCATTCCAAATCCCTTGGCATGGGATATGGCTTTCAATAGTCGCTCCTTCAGCTTCTCCCGACTGCTATATTCCGGTAGCAAGAGAGCATTGAAGCACGTGTGGGCTGTGGGAAGCCTGAAAGAGGAAAGATCAAGGTCACTCCTGGTGAATGCGTCTTGGAACTCTGACAAATGACTCAAGGGCGTTTGCAACTTCAAAGTTCATGGCGTTTACATTGTCTGGGGTTTATATAAAACATAACCATGTCTCAACCAGATATGAAAATTAATGACATAACTTCAAAAAATTTAAGATAAGGCATCCTAAACAAAACACTCATTGTAAAGCTGATTGAGCCCTCCTCAGGACAACTCAATTACTTGAGCTTATGTGAAAGCATTGAAGGATTGAAAATCACATGGAGCTATCTTGCTCTTCATGAGGTTATGAAATATATTTTTGGGGAAAGTGATATCATGGATTCCAAAATAAACATTGATCCATCACTCCAATTTTCACCTTTACTAAAAAATTTGAGCGTGGCAAAAATTAATATAAAACCACCAAAACCTGGGTTCATTTGATTTAAAAAATTGCCTCATCTACAGTCTTTCAACTGATAGATGATGGGATTTTAATTTTAATAAAAGAAGCTTCAGCTCATCTCCAAAAGAGTCGAATGCAGGAGGTCCAATTCTGCAATTATCTTCACTATCATCCATATAATGAAGAGATGTGAGACCAGGAAGACCCAAAGGGTACAGCTGCAACGTGGTAATCATGGACCTCACACTATTCTCCATGAAAACATATACAGTTCACTTGGGCTACCTACATTCACCTTGAAGTTCCATCAGGCAGAAAAAGCCATCTTCAGTTTCTTTCTAACTTCATTATGTGCATGAATCGGCTTTCAAAGCCAATATCAAGACCACACGGGGAACACAGTCAGGGACAAAGCCAGCTGCCATATTGAATAAGAGTAAGTTGCAAATGTCATCACGGAGAGATTCCTTCACCTGTCAGAGTCTGGCCCATTGTAGGCAATGATGAAGCGGAGATTTTTCAGACCCCCAACTGGTACTCGGTCGCTCCCCGTTGTGAACTGGAGGAGGTCTTTCTTCTGTGATTCGCTCATCTCATGCACCACTGACCAGAAGTACTTTATCACAGGGGAGTCAGGGCTATAGCCTCCATCATAATCAGTTGACTCCTCCATGGCCTCTAAGTCAAAGTCCTGCATGGGTAGGCAGACATCAAGTTTTTCATAGGATCAATACTGAAAAAATGTAAAGTGTATCAAATACTTTTTCTCTCTCCCTAAATAAAACACCAGAACAGTTATCATATCAGATTGACGTATTTTAAAACCTGAAACAGTTGGATCAGATCTGTTTGAAAGATGCTTCTAAATGATAGCAATAAAAAAATAGTGCTTCTGGTCTGGTGCTATCAATAAAGAACAAGAAAAAGTCTATGATGCACAAAATACATACAGGACTGGGCAAAAGTCCAAGCATGGCAAGTCAGTAATATAACCAAGAGGAAATAGAGTCAGAATAAGCTTAAAAAAGCATTTAAAGCCCATGATTTTGGGTTAAAGTCAATGAACAAAAAACTCAATATGGCTTTCAAAATTTGGAGGAACAGCTGGCAAACATGACTGCTATTGGTCAATAGCAATATTCGAAAATTGATAGGTGCTGGCATTCCAGTTATGGATGATTGCCTGCAGATTGCAAGGGCCCTGGAAGATGGTGTTCCTGTAAAATATTATCTGATGTGCTCTCCAACTACATAATCAGAAGGGTTGATAAGCAAACCAGTCGAAACAGGTGTCTTCCAAGACAAATGATTAATATTCCAATAGGTCCCAAGCTATTGTCACTGTTTTGCATCAAAAACATACCTGACTTGATGAAGCTTGATATTTAACCACTGAACAGCATTGATTTACATCCTTTTGATTTAACAATTTGGAGAGCACTCCAGGGAAAATAGGTCACAGGAATTCAGTTTCCATAATGTTGGATGAGTAGGCAGAGACCTCCAAAAGTGGCATGCTATCTCCCATTGACTTTGCAGAGAAACACTGACCATGTTGAAGGCCACAACAGACATTTCTAGTCCCTGACTTAGCAAAAGAGTAGGAGCTTTAAAATATATTGCTCGTCAATGGATTCTGGTTCTCACTTCCTATAAATTAAGTGCTAAAGAGCCATGCTTGACTTTTTTGTGGGTCCACCCTGCATTACACAGATGTCCAATATTTACCCTCTCTCCACAAATGAGACGCTCCAGTTCCTCCGGTCGAAATAACTTCTGAATGGAAGAGTCAGAAGTGGCAAGAAGGAATCCCCTTTCAAAGGCAGAATATTGCCTTGAAACAGACTTGTTGAGCAGGAAGTCAGCATAGAGAGACACAAATTCCTGAATGGAGAAACCATAAAAAATGAAAGCTTGCTGGAGTAATGCTATACTTTAGAGTCTGAATGACAAAAAAAAAGAAGAACCTGTTTATTTTCCTGAGTTAAAATGACTTTTTCTCCACCAGGCTTCAGTTCATGGGTCATGGTATTGCCAAACACATCTGTGTAACTGATTTGGAAACTCTGCATGAAGACATCTTCTATATCTGCCCCCTCATATGCCAACACATCGCACAGACTTCTATAGAGCATCTTCAAAGCATGAAAAATAGGCAATTCCAATTATTTTTCATTGAAGATGAAAAAGCCAACCATGAAGCTTAAGAAAGTATGCCTACAGGACTGAAGTCTTCTAGGTCATCAAAAGTGCCAAGTTGACCCATGAGCTTCCTATAGAGAACAAGTGGAAATTGCACAGCCAAGATGGCACTATTATAAAGAGCCAGTCCCATGAGAATGCCAAAAAGGCTGAACTGTGCATCACTTTCAAAGCAAGTGGGATTGAACCAGTAGGTATGAGTCTCCTCGTTCAATGCAAACATTCCTGTGGTAAGAAAAGAAATGTCATAAGTCATTCTGGATTTGAACACAAGCAATAGCAGTACTGTGGCAAAATTAACAGAGAGAGAACAGACCAAAGTCAGGATTAAATAGTCGTTCTGTGAGAAGAAGGAAGAATTCTTTCGAAAGGCCTCCTTCATCCACACCTTCCTCTCCAACAAATTCTACCATCAATTGCTTTCGTAAATCCAATGGTCTTTGTAGGGCCACCATCTCCAACTGTAGGGCAATTCAAATGTTACAGACCATGAGCAAAAATATGAAAATCTAAGAGCCTTCAAGGACAATTTGATAGCTATTATAAGAAAGGGAATAGTTGACAACTTTTGAAAAGATACCCCAATGAAAAGCTTATGATACACTCATTCACTTGGCACAAAAGGAAAAATGGTGTTATAGGAGTAATTTGGACACATTTCTGGAAATAATCTTGTTCCAACTGAAAAATTTATTTAATCAAACAAAAGTGTATAGGCACATAGCTTATACTTTGACCTAAACTTCATAAAACCCCATAAGTTTTGCTACTGTTGGCATATTTTACAGTTTTGAAGATCAACAGTACTTACTATACTTTTCCAAAAATAAATAAAATTGAGTAAGCAAGGAAAGAAGAAGGCATTCCACCAAACAGATCCTGAGACCCAAGGATGTCTGGCCCTTCTTGGCTCCTGTCTCACAAATTCCCTATGACCCTGTCTCATTCCCTATCTTGCTAGGACCCAAATTCAATAAGAGGAGGGCCTTATGCAGCTTGTCTCAAATGGGGCTCAGGATTTCAGGCAATTTCCCCTATCCCAGTTGGGGATACCCCACTGCTCAATTTTTTTTGTTGCTGGAATGATATATTTTGTAGAGAAATGAAAAGGAAAATATAATGCTCTTAATGTAAATTCAAAAACATTATGTCTTTCTCCCATGAGATGGTAATAAAACCAATTTATCTTTCATTCCTAGCATTATACAAGAAGCAGAGGTGATTAGATATTTACACAGTTTGTTCTGAATAACATCACAAATTATGTAAGAACAAAGAGGAATTTTCAGTTTCCCTTCTGTGCTTCTTCCTTGGGAAACAGACATGGGTCTTTAACCCTTTCAGATCTGGCATCCATTCCAATGGACATTGCATTTACATCATGTCTATGGCAATTTCTTGGGATTCTTGTGACTTTGCGCTCCATATTACGCTACAATGGGTACAATCATGCATGGCTCACTTCTATCAGAGGCCTTCTCTTTCACCCTTTAGTTTTGTAACCTTCTGCTATTTAACTAAATGTATAATATATAATATATGGTACGATATGGTAAATTTATACAAAATAATAAAACTACATATAAAGCATGAAAATTTCAATTACAATCACAAAAAAGCTCAAAAATGCAAATAGGGATATTATTCCAATAGAGGCCTTAATTCAGGTCTGAAAGGGTTCAATTTAGGTTGGGAGTGTTATTTCCACAGAACTTTAGCTTTAAATTGGTGAATATGTTTAGGTACAGCTTTTCCACCCTTCATGCCTGCTGCATGGGGCATATTTTTTTTTGGCAGATTTCCTGTATTGTTTGACTCTAGGCCTGACATAAGAGTTCCTCTTTTCTTTTGACAGATTCCTTCTTGATTTAACAGTACTTCTTTTAACTTACTTGCTTTTTCCCTGGTGCCATGCTCAGCTTTAGCATTTAGTTATCTGACTCCTGGGAGTTCAACTCAAACTGAAACATGAAATAAACTATGTATGCTACATTTAATGGTTTTGATCAAATCATGTTATATTAATGAAGTTTTTTCTCCTGAAGGAAAGAAACTCAAGCCTTATCATGTCTAAGCTCAGCTGCTTTACATTGAAAATTTCCATCTACATCTTCACAAAAATTATCAGCAATATAAGAACTGATATTTTAAATATAAATTAATGTAATCCTGGCATGATATAATATTAGCAAATACCAAACTGATTTGAAAAATGTAAGAAGTCTAAAGTTGAGTGAAAGATGGAAGCTTAAGGTTGAGGTGTATTTATCTTCTCCTGCAGTTTCATGATGATTTGTAGGGTTAACTGGCATTTACATGCAAGAGCAACTAGAATCAAAATGGGGTCAAAAGTCAGTACTTCTAAACAATTACCACCCTATTGGCATTAGTTGTAAAGGATGAGTGAAACAGTAGTCAAATGAATGAGTGCAATGCAATTAGATACCCAACTTAATGTTTAAACCCGAAAAAAATTTACTCCTGAAGTTTTTCTTTTTTCTCGTAGAATTTTCCTGGAGATACACAGAACAAGAAATGATTATGAGGCAACATAGCTCTCCTTTGTTAAATAAGGATAGCCCAACATACCTCAACTAAGGCATCATCAATGATGTGGTCTCGTCTGACTTTGAGCTTGAGATAAGGGACAGATGGTTCACCAAGTAGAGCAGTCTGAAAGAGGCACATTCTCCTTTCTGCCTGCATTCTCACTCGATTCTCAAAGTACAGACCCAAAGCCTTGGCAGAGAGAGTCAGGACAAATGCATAGTCCATTAGACTGAAGCCTCCAGAATTGCCATCCTGAAAGATAAAATCACATTAGCCAGGCACACAGAAGCATGAAGCTGAAAAAAAATTCAAGACACTTGCCAGGAACATTCTGAATTCCTCGCTCAGGGGCTCATTATAGAATTCATTGAAGGGGATGAGTGGTTTCCGAGCATCAACTGGTCTCACACCAAGTTCATGTTCCAGTGGGTCCAGACTCACAGCTGACTCTGGGTCTTTCACAATTGACTCAGATAAAAGAGACAAACTTGTATGGCTATCTGAAGCCACACGCCTGCACTCAGGTCCATCATGCTTCCCACCTACTATGCTTGAATAATACAAGATCTGCAGGCAAAAAAAGGCAAATGTGACATTTTCATGCCTGACTAATTTTTAGCTGACAATTGGACCACAGGAAATTTCACCTTCATGAAATGAATAGGGTATGATATTTCCATTTTCTCTTGAATGTCACCCCCAGATTTGGGTTGAAGAATCAAGTCAGTGATCAGAGACTGAAGTGCCAATAACATACGATGAATGAAGGCAGGTTCTGTTTTGCTCCAAACTCTAGCTAACAAGGCTTGCCCCTTGATAGGCACAACATATAAAGCCTTGCACAAGGCTGGCAATGCCTCTAGCGCACTTGTTGTCCAAAGCATAGGCAATTCGAACACCACCAATAATACATTCACATAATCCAGTGAATCACTCTGACTACAATGAAATTTGAGTTCCACTTCCTCAGAAAGAAGCAAAAGAGCATTGATGAGAGACGAGGAGAAATGCTGGTGAGAAACACTATCCAGTAGCCTGAAGACTTTCCTTGCAGAATCTAGGTCCACTTTACATCCATCAGTTTCCTCACCATCTTTTTTCAGAAAAAGCTCGAATAGGATGTCTGGGTCAGAGAAAACTTGGCCCACTGTTCTCACAAGCTGGCTATAATTTCCTTCCTTCTCACACTCCTCCAAGATCTTCTTCAAGGATTCTTCACTGAATGCCATATGTTGGAAGTTCCTTGCAGCTACAAATACAGAATATGTTAGATAAACCTAGTAATGTGTCCTATATACACAAGTAGACACGGGTGATCCAAAACTCATCCATGGACAGTCCAGTTGTCCAGAGATGGGTATGAGTCCAGAGGCAGTCGTCCTTTGGATGTACATAGGATGCCATCACCATGGATTGATATCTTCTCGTGAATTTTGAGCTTTATTAAAGCAGAATTTCCCTACATCGAACACTCAACTAGTTCCTTTTCATTTAATAAAGGTTTTAAGGAATGGTGTTACGAGCATCCTATCATGAGATTTATTTTGTTCTTTTTTTTTCTTCTCATCTCCCATCTTAGGTAGCAACCCAGTAACTTCAATTAATATACAGCTAGTGTAACATTTCAATTGGACCAGTGCATGATTTCATTTAATTTCGACATTACAAACAAAACGATGTGTCAGTCCTTCTTTGGGCATCCATGGGACATCCAGCAAAGGAACTTCCAAGGATAACTTCTTATGGACTTCCATTGGATGTCTTTTGATGGAATCCCCGCCCTGTTGAGGCCTTTAAACTGCCCTGACATCTAGCAGTTCATTCAAGAAGTATAAAGTTCCCATAATATAAACTGAGGTCGCGCTCATCCTGCCACTATATGTCTCCCGATTCCTTAAATGCAAACGAATTGTTCTGCAGAAGCTTTCATCCTCTACTTGATAATTTCCCACGTACAAGCCTAAGGAAAGAAGTCATTCTAATTAATTCATTTGTAGAGAGACGTATCATAACGCAAGGAGACTCCCGGCAATTCTTGCACATTGCATGGTGAGAGTGTGGTTCCCCTTGTGAAGTAATTATGTTCTCCATCAAACAATGGGAGAAATAATCTCTCGAATGAGAGACGAGGATGGGAAGTTGAGAGTATCGTCTCAATAATAATTCACTTTCCATCCAAACGCTTCTCTCCTAATTCTTCCAAGGAATGTGAGAGGGCAAGATTGTCAATATGCAGAAAATGCACCTTTCACACGCCATGAATATTCATGAGCATGGACATTTTGTTCCATTGATACCTGGAGGTTACTATCACTGCACCCCTCAATGGCGATCCAAAAGTTTTCCCAAAGGGAATTTCCAATGGATCCTAAGAGACAGACATCCAATAGGCCATCCAATGGACATGTCCAAGGATTATCCTTGGGCGAGACATTTAGTCATCCAGTGGATGTCCGAGGGGGACATACATTGGATTTCCAAGTGTCCATGAGGGTATGTCCAATGGATTTATTTTGGATCAAAATTGCTACTTGGGTAGTTTCCAATTAAGATTCAAATATGCAATTATTGGGAAAATATGATAGTTGAAGGATTCAACCACCTGAATAACAGTTGTTTGCTGATGCCCTTGACTCTTCTCCTTCCTCCATATCACATGGCAATGACTTGACGTGATTATGGCCAAGAATGGATAACTTCCTAGTCTGCTTCTTGCAGAGTAAAGATGATGGGTTTGGAGCAGTCATGAGAAGATGAAGGGCTTGCACAGCTGCTTCATTTGCAGGCAGTGCCTCCAACTTTAAAAATAATATAAATAGTTTTAGAATTTCAGCACTTCTAAAGCAGCATTAATTAAGGAAGATGAAGTCAAACCAACATTGCTATTTTGCCTCCCTGTTGCACATTCTTTGTTGCTGCAATCTGGGTTTCCACACCCTTGAGTGAGTTGATAGTAATACTCCTCAATGAGTTTTGCAGCATCCTGCTTTTGCTTCTCACTGCAGGCACCCCCAAATTTTGTACCTCCTTCCCTGAAATATATTAAGGTTGACACTCTCATTTACCAAATGTCTCTAAGCATCTGTTTAATTTTTTTTCTTCAAATGATTAATCACTTTTCAAATTATATCAACAGCAGATACCAAAGCATTGTTCATCATATGTACAGTGGATTCTTCATGATATTGTAGTTAGTTTATTGACTCAACAGGGGTTTCAATTGGAAAAGTTTGTTGGGCCAAGAAAATAAAAACAAAAATGCATGAAGTAGATTCTCACTTCTTACAAGATTCGCCAATTGTAGGCCCAGCATAAAAAATAGTTCCTTTACAGAGATGTCGTCAATGCTTTCATCCTTATCTTTACCAAGGATGCAGATTCCCTAATGATCAGACGACGTCTGCCTAACGCGCGGGAGTAGGTTGGACTTATAATCCATCTTATACATATAAACCAAGGCCCAGGTCCTGCTGTGTTAATAATCCCATAATTGAAACTCACGAGTTTTTCCTGGAAGGTGACTTGGAGGAATCCGAACCATCTCTGTCGTCCTCGAACAAATCACTCATTCTGATCTAACGAACGACTAATGACGTTAATAAAGCCTTCTGAACGTTAGGAAAAAATCCATTTCCATCTCGTTGTGCGTGATCGAAATCGAAACGAATTCGAGCCCATGTGAGTGGCCATGTTTCGATAGGGGACACGGCATGACGTCACCCACTACGTCTGCTGAAGTGTCACCAACTATGCAAGGTTACGACCCCGGCAAAACTATGAAATATGTCTTTTTTTATATGAAAATATACGACTAACTCTCCGCATTCTTCGGCATAGCCATTTCTCGTTGATATTGTCCCTTCATTACTCGTCTTCCCATACCGCCAAGAAGTTTGGTATCGTTGCCAAGCGTCACTACGCGGTGAGGAGACGAGGAAAGGGAAATGCGTGAGAAAGTCAATCTTGTCGCGATTCTCGTGACTTTGCGCCCCAAATCACACCACAAAGGACAGAATTGTGCATGGCTCAATTCCGTCGGAGGCCTTCTCTCACCCATCAGTTTTGTAACTTCAGGTATTTAACTACATGTATAATATATAATATTTGGTATTATATGGTAAATTTATACAAAATATAAAAACGATACATAGATAGTAAAAAATTAAAGTAGAATTGGAAAAGAGGTTTAAAAAAAGTATTTTATTCCGATAATGGCCTTAATTCAGGTTTGAAAGGGTTAAAGATGCATATTTTTGAGGGAGCACAAGAATCTACCCAGCAAACAATTCGAAACACATAACGCTGAATCAATGTTGTATTAACATTGAATAAACGTTCGGAACGTTGATACAACGTTAATCCAAGGTAGCCTTGTTTGCTGGGTACTGTCTACGGGGAAGGACAGAACCTTTTTCTCCCCCCCTCCAACCCAGAGCATTTTAGTCATTAACATATATTGGGTAAAATCTGAAAGTCTAATTCGGTTGGAACAGTTTCTGATCATTTTCAGATAAATAGATCAAAATGGCTGGTACTTACAACTGCGAAAAGCAGAGAGTGATTGATATAATTAAATGTATCACATTTCGTGAGGCTCAAGCTGCCCCTGACATCCTCCAGAGAAACCTTACTCAAGTGCTCCAAGGCACAGATAACTGAACATATTCTTTTTTCGAGAACTGCTTGAATCCTACTTTCATCGCCTGTAGGCTGTTCGTCTTGCAGGTGGTGGTTACATAGATTATTGAATTGGTCATATGAGTTTCATTTTCATTCAGGAATACAATGTTAAATTGGTTGTTCCGGGTCTCTTTCATGCTGCAGCAACGGGGGGGGGGGGGGGGGGGGGGGCTGTGCTCCCCCTCGAGATGGAAATGGATTTTTTCCTAACGTTCAGAAGGCTTTATTAACGTCATTAGTCGTTCGTTAGATCAGAATGAGTGATTTGTTCGAGGACGACAGAGATGGTTCGGATTCCTCCAAGTGAAAAAGTTATTCCTCGACTTGAGCCTCATTCAAGGCTTTCGCGGCTTGAACCCTCGTTCGGCTGTTGCCATGCAGTAGGAAAAATCTCTCGCGCTCCACACGATCGATTCCCTTAATGATCTTAAAAGCTAGGATTAGGTCCTCCTCGTTAACCTTCGCTCGAGCGAATAGAGCCCGAGTACTTCTAAACGTCTCTCATACGAGTCCACGTCATCATTTTGATAGCCGGATTTTGCACCTTCTCGAGCGCCGCTAAGTCGCTTTTATTTGCAGGCCTCCAGAATGCAATTCTCTCAATGGGGTATAAATAATACCGTAAACAACAGATGAAAAATGTGGGAGCTCTTAGTGGCAATGGGAAGCCGGATGAACCGAAAATCCTGTTACACTTAACGATGGTCGCCTGCATGTGAGAGAACTTCTTGTCGATCATTATCACGTTGACGACCAGCCTATTTTTGCTTGTCCGCCACGTGGGACCACGCGCATTTTTTTTTGTCAAAAAATGCGTCCTGCCATCAGGACGCATGGTCCCAGAAAACATTTTTTTTGCCGAGTTTTTTTTAAATGTTGAATTTTTTGNCAAAAAATGCGTCCTGCCATCAGGACGCATGGTCCCAGAAAACATTTTTTTTGCCGAGTTTTTTTTAAATGTTGAATTTTTTGGAATTTTTATCAGTAATTACAAAATCATAATCTTCTGGATCGTTCTCAACAGTTCCAGAGGGTATTCATTGAAAATGAAATCTGCATCCTGGCATCAGGACGCATTGTCGCCAACGTGTTATCCATGTCTCTTTGCCCGTTCGCCTCCCCCATTTCATCTTCGCCAAACACCTTCAGAGATCTATCATTAGACCACCGGGAAGGATAGTAGATATTGCATTTATCATTCTTAAACTTCATAAGCCATTTTTTTTTTTACTCCACTCATCGAGGTGCTCCAAATCTCTCTGCTCCCATCCTGTCTTCCTCCTCGCTCACGATGAAGTCCAAGCCCGCCCAGAATCAGGGGCATCGGGGACAATCTGCCCCGGGCCTCTCGTATGAAGGAGTCCCCAATGCCAAGGTTCTAAAAGGGTCCATCCTGTCATCCCCTTCCATACAGTGGCTCCCAAGAGGCCACCAGCTACGTTTTGTTTCGGGCTTCTGGAAACCTCTGGGCGGGCCTGGTGAAATATACATATTTTTATGTCGTCCGCATATTTACAAACCGTAACCGCGAGGCCTTTATCTAGGTCAGGGGTGCAAAACTCAAAAGACTGCGAAGGCCACATACGATTTTTATTCGCCTACTGCGGACCACATCTACTCTTATGACTTACTTCCATAGCTGTGGCCAACTAGCCAGGAGCCATAGTCTCACAACGCCACCAGTCGTGGCGGGCCGTGTGTTGGGCACCCCTGATCTAGATCATTGAAAAAGGGCAGAAACTGGAGCGGGCACTCGTGACTCGAAATTCGAATACGCGATCCCTAAAAATGCTCTAGTTAGAATATTAGCAATCCACATCACTGGTGGTATCACGAAATTTAAAGGGGCTCTTCTGATTTCGTCAAAGGACTACAAGATCAAACAGCGGGCGTAAGATGACTACCTCAATGACGCCAAATCGATTCTAAAAATTGCTGTATCCCAGAAAGGCAATAGGGAAGGTCTTCTCAGGAAATTAAGGCAGTCACTTTCTCATGAAATGAGAGCTTTCGAAAGCAGCCTAAACAGATGGACCCTTTACTCATTGAAAATGAAAACACATCCCATTGAATTTCATGTGCAAAGACGATCTACATCCCAAATGAAGAAACTCTCTCGTCTCAAGAAATTCAATACAGGTCAATATTAGGAACCAGGTGGTTTTACGGCAATGTAACCACTTTTGTATTAACTTCTATATTCATTGCAGTTTTGATGAATACCAAACTCTATTTGCATATAATAAAGTGCTCCCAAAAAGGCAACTCATAGGACTCTGGTTGCACAAAATACCGAACGGCACACAACCTGCTCGACAACACACAACCTGGGGTTCTGCTCGAGACAAGCTCTGATCAATCTGGTCGACGAAGTTCGTGAAGATGGGTTGTGTTTGCAACAAGCCGCATGGAGGCAAATCGTAAACCCCTGTAGATGTTGTCGCTGAAATCAGTGGTGCGATAGACGAAGAATCTACCACGAGTGCACATGGAACGGACAAGCGTTTGGTCACGTTTCAGCTTGTATGGAAACATTTGTAGATTTTGCCTTAGAACCTTGTGCACGGTTGAATGGGGAAGATACAGAAGGCGGGAGACGGCACGACTGCAGCTCGTTCCATGCGCACTTGTATTAGGTTTTTCGTCAATCGCACCTCTGATTTCAGCAACATCTACAGGGATTCTTGACCTGCCTCCATGCGGCTTGTTGCAAACAAAACCCATCTCCTCGAACTTGTCGACCAAACTCATCAAAGCTTGTCTCGAGCAGGGCCCCAAACGCAGGGGAATGCGCTGTGCTGTATTTTCTTAAGGCAACAACAGCATTACAGTTGGTGTAGAAGAGCTTTATTAGCTCGCCTCTCTGCTTCGTAGTCAAAGTCATGGCTTTTCTGTCCTTGATCGAAAATTATTACATACTTTCAGTAGTGGTTCAATGGTCCAAGAGTGCTAATATGAGAATAAATTTTTATTTTTATTTTTTATTTTTGCAAAACAGTCTAAAATAAAATCCCATGACCCCCTGAGTATCCCTATAAAATTGCACTGTCCTATGCCTTTCCGCTCCGGAGATATTGAACATCAAAAGTTTACTTTTTTTTAATGGACACCCTGTAGATAGCAGATGCGGATGACAAGCAGATAAGTTATGGGTTTCTACATTTGAAATGAACCCAGAAGAGTAGGTGCAGAAACAAACAGCAATGTATTTTTGAAACCATGACAAAACATAGCAGGAGATTATATTTGCATGACTTGAAGTTAGGGTCATGAGGCTTGTGTCAATGTTGACGTAGATTTTTCTGGATTAGCACCTCCCTCTTCTGTTCCAGGGTCAGGAGGATGTTCTAGGATCTTGTCAATGAGGCCAAAATTCTTGGCCTCTTCAGGAGACATGAAATAATCCCGATCCATTGCCTTCTCTGGTGGAAAAAAAAGAAGCATAATAATAGTTCAATTGTGGCTAAATAAAAAAAACTTCATTGCCAGTCCTTCCAGCATGATTTTATTGTCATCATACCAATTGCAGCATATTGTTGACCAGTATGCTTGCAGTAGAGCTTGTTTAGTTGCTGTTTCATCTTCAAGATCTCCTCTGCCTGAATCTGAATATCACTAGCTTGACCCTAAAAGAGCCAGTCATGTGAAATCAGAGAGCATGGAATGGTGAGTTCCAGGTAATATAAGAACAAAGAAGGGAAAAAATGCTGGCAGTCCAGTCTAGTAGTGCTTTCAAAGGGTGCTGGGAGCAGCCAGATGAGGTAGGTACATGAAGGTTGGGAGATAAGAGATGATGCCTAATGTTGTCAGATGTGGCACTTTGCAAATTTGTGAGTAACCTTGTCCCTGCTTTCATGTGCAAGTCAGCTCTTCAATTTTCAGTAATACCCTTAACAGCTTTGAAGGTCGAAATGGAACTTGCAGCCAGTCAGTGAAATGAAACCCAACCCATGTAGAAGGCTGCAAATGTTTTGCATCTGTATCCATGAAGAATGGATGCACAAGGAAACAAGTTTCAATTGAAAAATTTGTCTCTTTGGTATGAATTTTGCCAAAAATAAGCCTGGCCTCATTCTTGCTCACATGAGGTAACAATAGCTTAAATAGTGATTTTGTGATTTATTGTCCAACAACAAAAGTTGGAACATACAGACAGATGAATCATCATCGTTTTTTTTTGTTTAAAAGGCACACTATGAGAAAAGTACTCACAACTGCTTGCCCTCGAGGCTGATGGACCATGATCCGTGCGTTGGGAAGGGAATGGCGCATTCCAGGGGTCCCAGATGCCAGAAGAAGACTTGCCATGCTGCATGCTTGCCCAACACACCATGTTGCTATTGGAGGCAAAATGTACTGCATTGTGTCGTAAATTCCCAACCCAGCCGTTACGCTTCCACCTGGGCTTCATAAATAAAAAAAAAGGTCAAACAATTTCAACATAAATAATGAAATGAGTAATGGAGCATAAAAAGTACCTATTGATGTACAAATGGACAGGTTTCTTATTGCTCTCACTCTGCAGGAACAGGAGCTGGGCAACTACAACACTTGACATCTCATCAGTCACCTATGCAGCAGAACAACAGTCAAGCATACCTTCTCCAATCATGAAGGTGATAGCATGCTTCCATGAAGGAACTTGAGAAAAATTTTGCACTTCATAATGTGGTGTGGTATGTACTAAGAATGAAAAAAGAAAATCCTTGGCCAAACCTACTGGTCCCATTAGACAGATAATACGCTCTTTCAGAAGCCTGGAGTAGATGTCATATGCCCGTTCTCCTCTTCCTGTCTGTTCTATCACCATTGGGATAAGGGGATATCCATGGGAGTATGATTTGTGAAACCCTCTCTTCACAGGGCTCCAGAGCAAAAATGTCTGGCAGAGCTTCAATCGCATCTGCTTGCAAATAAATACCCTGACACAATCACAGTTTCCTTATTAAAAGCTCATTGGTACACCCAATGGTAAAGACATAAGACTTCTTCCACCTCTACCAACACTATTGCTGCATAGGAACAATAGCACTGGCAATCATCAAGAGGAATGCTGAATGACTGATGACATCAACTGGAGTTAGACATTTTTTAACTTTCAATTTCCAGGTCCCTTCTCTTCATGTGGGCATTCTACTGATGTCAAGAAAGGAAACAAAAAGTTTCATTTTAAAAATATATATTTCAATGGCCTGCTATGGAGTGAAAAGCCACCCTAGATCACCATGACTGAAACTGGAGAGAAAGATGGAACTCATGAGAAAACACACCCTCATAACTGACAATACCTAACTTGAAATACTTGTGCTCCTTACTGATACACAGGAAAAATCCTTATTATTTCAATTGCATTCTTTCTCTGCCTCTATCTGTGCTCCACAGACCTCCTCATGGTCACATGGAACAAGGCTTCATGAAATAATCATCAGGCCAACTTATCATGCAAGCCAGAGGAATATTCCCTCTAAACTTCAATCTGTCCCATGGGCTTGAGGTCAGGCGAAACCTCAAAGTCACACCCAGTTGCCTCCACAACATCCTGGACTGTAACTCCTTCTGCAATCTCACTCAGAATCAGCCCTCTCTCCTTGTCCACATTAAAGACAGCCTGAGGAGGAAAAAAAAAACCCCAAAATTTTCAGACTAGCAAAATCGAAAAATGTCACTTAGTGGGGGCTGTGTGCAACACTAACCTTCTCAGTAATGATCATGTCAACACAGTTTTTCCCTGTGAGGGGCAAGGTGCACTCAGGAAGAATTTTATGCACTCCACCCTTTGCTGTGTGTTCCATGGTGATGACAACCTTTGTACCTTCTGCACTCACCAAATCCATTGCACCTCCCATGCCTTTTACTAACTTTCCCTGCATAATATCAAACTTTTAATTGACATCCATTAGGAAGGACAACCCATAAATATACCAGGACTCACTGGAATCATCCAGTTAGCCAAATCTCCATACTTGGAAACCTGCATGGCACCCAGGATAGTGATGTGAACTTTCCCCCTGGAATGGAGCCATGTCAGAATGCAATTGACTCTGCCAAGTATGTGGGGTGAAGAATAAGGCAATAAACAATCTAAGTTTCTAACCCTCTGATCATGCCGAAACTCTCATCTGAAGAAAAGTATGATGCACCAGGTATGACTGTAACAGTTTCCTTCCCTGCATTGATAAGGTCAGCATCCACTTCGTCTTCTGTAGGGAAGGGTCCAAGGCCAAGCACACCATTCTCACTCTGCAGAGTCACTTCCATTCCCTTAGGAATATAGTTGCTGGCAAGCATTGGCATGCCAATGCCAAGGTTAGCTGAAAATGCCTTTAAGGTCAAGGAGATTTACACTCTGAAAGAGTCAGTTAGACTCCCTAAATAAAGTTTGGAGAGAGGTTTATGAATTTTAGAGTCATCAAGTGCAAATATACATAGCTATGAAGCAAAGGATACCATACATTCCATCCTTGAATTCCAAAGCAGCACGACGAATAATCCTCTCTCTCATGGCTGCAGCTGGAGTCTTGGATTTCTCAGATTTGATAGCCTTCCTCACTGTTCTTCTCTATCACATGAAGTTTCATATTGCACAAGAGCACTCATTTATAGGAATAAAACAAAAAACTGAGGTCAAAGACTAAAATAAACTTACCTCAATTCTTTTCTCAAAATTCTTCCCAAGGAAAACGCGATGGACATAAATTCCAGGAACATGGACAAATTCAGGTTCAATTTTACCAACATCAACAATTTCTTCAACTTCAGCAATGGTCACCTTGGCAGCTTTGCACATAGGTGGATTGAAGTTCCGAGCAGTCTTCCTGTGCATCAATAAGTCATGCAGTAAAACAACTGACAAAGTAAAGCACTTCTAATGTCTAGGGTATCAGAAGTGAAGCATTCATGCCTAAAAATCAGGTTGCCTGCTTTATCAGCCTTCCATGCCTTTACAAGGGCAAAGTCACCAGTAATAGCTTCTTCCATGATATAGTTTCTTCCATTGAATATCCTATGTTCTTTGCCAACACTCATGATATCAACTGAGCCATCAGCTTTATGCTTCAGAGGTGCACCACCCTCATGAATGAGAGTTCCAAATGCAGTTGAAGTGAAGAAAGCAGGGATTCCTGCTCCACCAGCCCTTATTCTCTCTGCCAAAGTTCCCTGATTTGACAATAAAGAGAGTTTTAGGGAAATACATGCCTTTGCATGAGTTCTTCCTCTTTAGGCAAAGAACTCCTCAAACCTGTGGAGTCAGTTCCACTTCAAGTTCTCCATGCAGGTACTGCCGCTCAAACTCAGCATTTTCCCCCACATAAGAGGAAATCATTTTCTTAACTTGTTTCTGTTGAAGGAGGAGTCCCAAACCAAAGTTGTCTACTCCTGCATTGTTACTGACAACAACAAGGTCCTTCACCTTAGTCTCCAACAAACCCACTATGAGATTCTCAGGAATACCGCAGAGGCCAAAACCTGAGCACATGAAAAGAGTGGCAAATATGGTTCACATAATGGGTAAACCAATGCAAAGCATATGGAGAATTTCCTTTCTTACCTCCTACAAGAATTTTAGCCCCATCAGGAATATCCTTCACTGCCTCTGTGGCTGATGCATAAAACTTTGGACTGTCTCTCTTCTGCGAGGTGGAAAAAGCCCTTGCCTACAACAAAAGTTAAAAATCATGATATACAACTAATATTTTTCATGTTAATCTGGGAATATATTATACAAAACGTAATTCATGCCTAATTCTCTGCTTCAGATAATGTACATTTTTTTCCCCCCTCTCTCTTTCCAATGGCATTTAACAGTCAGAAAGTTCACTTCGTAAGAATATCAAGATCAGGACTGATGGCACAATATGCTTCCCACTTAAATCTTTGCTATTATATTTCAGAATGTTTGTTTGTGTGTCTGTCCTTTATGCACAGCCATGTCTCTGATCCCAGTCTGAGAAAATTTGCATGACTTCCTCACTTGGACTGGGGATGGTCATAGGCTAGGTAGGATTTCAAAATTCAGATCCCCTGGGGTACCGTATTTAGTTCATATTTACAGGTCCTGAAAGCATAAGGAACCTAATTTATTTTAAAAAAAATATTTTTCCTAATCCATCCAACTCAACAAGATATGATCAAGAAACACATTTTTGGTGCTATCAGGAATGTGCATACTAATCCTCATGGATTTGCTGAAAATTGGGGAGAGGTGTTACACTTAAAAAAAAAAAGAAATAAAAACAATAAAGTACTTAAGGGTAGACTATGAGCAAAAAATAAAAATTGAAATGCTTTCCAGAAAGTAAAAATCATTGGAACCATTGAGAAACTCATATTCTATAGATCTTTTTGCAACATAATTTTTATATGAAGCTCCAGTGGTTCCTGAGATATTCTCAAAATACTTAAAGCATTAGTACATGAGGCATTTCCCAAGCCACAGCTAAAATAATCAATCAAACTTCTTCAAATTCATAGGACTCCATGAGAAAACATACAGCTACAGATTGCTGGGAGCAAAAAAGTGAATTTTCCAATAATACCATGCAAAAATATGCAATTTCTGTCATGTTACTTGAAAATTTGATGACAGTTGCTGCTTAGCTCAATATTGAAGTAATAAAAAAAATTTTAATCAAAAACTGGTCTCAACATTTTCCAGGCTTGTCATTTCTGAATTGCCATGCAAAATTTAACATTTCTGGCACCAATATTGTAGGAGAAATTTGGGAAATAGTCATTGTACATTCACTTTTTTTTTATAAGTTGAGAAGATTGGATTCAAAGTTTTTCATAGTTTCACAATACAAATGAGTCCAAATTTTACTTCTAAAACCCCCCAGCTCTGTATTGCATGCCTTCATGCTCCTCTTCTGCAGCTTTTTCTTTGACTTTCTGAAGCTTTATGGCCTCCTTCTTTCTGCTAAAAGAATACATTATTTGGCATAATATTTGCATTCAAAAATAGTTGCTGATTCCTATGAAAATATTTGCTATTATCAGAAGGGCCAAAAATGTGAGGAATGAGAGAAATGTGAGAAACTGTTAGTACATATTTGGCTGATTCACTACTACAGATCCCCCAAAGGAGTCAAAATTTTTGGGGGTCACTGAAGTACAAATTATAGAAGGATGCCATGTTACTAAATAAAAATTTCCTTTGCACCTTGCAGCACAGTACAACAGACTCATTAGTTTGTAATAATTCCCATTTCACATTCTTCAGCTTCATTGGCTACATTAAATTTTTTAAAATTTTGCTTAGTTCACTTTTTGGGAAATAATGCAATTCTATCAACCCACATATTTGTACATTGGGGATGGGTAAAACACACTATAGACATGATCAGGCATGTGTCAGGTCATCATGGGCCCTTCTAACAAAAATGTCTTCTATCAATATAACAATAGAATTCATCACTTTTTTTACTAAAAAAAAATGCAAAGTCATTAAACTGAACAAAGTAACTTTCCCTTCATAGGCTATATAAGAGAAATTTTGATTTAGTGTTGATATCACAGAGAAACACTTGCCACAATGAACATAACAAAGAAGGTGACTGAAAGGAAACATATTTTTTTAAATCACCCAGTATACACTAGTCAAATCTCCTGTTTCAGAACTTCATTCCCCTCAGTAGCTCATTTCCTATATATTACATATAAAGTGACCAGATTGAAGTCCATATTATTGAAATTCAAAGTGACACATTTCACTTGTCAACAAAACAGGTAATAGAAATAAAGAAATCATATAAATGGTTTCTAGAGTCTCAACACCAAGCAAGATTCACAGTGCCTCTGAATGATCTTCTAGAGGAGAGGAAAAAAATGAATGTTTGTCTCATGAAAAAAATCTCCAATGCTGGATTTTCAAAATTATTTATCTCATGGATGCAAAAAGGTATGTTTTCCAGTTTGGTTTCTCTTAGATAAAAATAAAAGCCTCAAGGTAGTTGTTGGTATTTTTTTTTAACTTAAAATTGGAGAATGTGCCGAAGAGCTTGAAGCTGAATACTAGGAATATCTCTTCTCCTTACCAAATAGACACTGATAGGGGCCTGCTGGCAGCAACATCTTTGGTACAGTCCTTTTGTGGATCTCAGTAAAGGATGTCTCCCAGTAAATAGAATTGATATGCTCTGTGTTCGGGGCATTTCCTGTCTGAAATGACTACTGTCTAGGATTGGAACCTAGAAGAAATCAAGACAGCATGGGACACAATAAAACATTTCAGGACTTGATTACATTTTTTATTAAGTTGGATGTAATGCATTGCTCATAAACAGAAAATCCATACCAGATGACCTCTATGTCTATATGAATCTCACCACTTTTACATTTCACTACTAGCCAATGGGGCCTTCTGGAAGTCATTACTTCACATACCAGTGAAATAATTTTTACCATTATTTATTAAAATACTAATATTTCACATAAACTCAAATTTATCCAGAATTGCTTCAGAATTGGAAAAAGACCCACCTGCAATAGCAAAAAGGGTAAAGTTCCTGCATGAGGAGAAATTCATGGGGACATCAGAAGTGCTAGCTATGGAAACTGATGTTTCTGTGTTTAGCCAGGTGTCTCAGACAGCTTGAAATACACACTTATATATGTAATCTATGTGGTGACTTAGCTATGTACCCTTTAGTTTCATGCTTTATTTCAATGAATGACTTGGTCTTATTAGGCCCCAAGTCTAACATGAGGCCTAACTTGGCTTGGAGGGCATCTGATCATGAGTCACAGTGTCTCCTTTAGAGATGCAGATTGGCTATTTCAAACTTTCTGATTTTTGCCAATATCCGAAATAGAGTTCTGTTTGATCTTTACAGTAAAAGGAAATATGACTAGGACTATCTTTTCCATGCCTTTATGGAAACCCAGAGACATGTGATATAGCCAATATGGCATCATTTGAGAGGTGAGAAATCACAGGTCTTTCACTCTGCTTATGGTCCTGGTCTGGTACATAGAGGCAGGCCTTTGCTCTAAGGCTTAAGTGTAGCCTATGCTTTGCAGCCTAACTTTGCTGAGTTCATCAAGGAGAATTTGAAATAAAATCATGTTGTCTTGTTGAATTTTCAATATGGTTTTGTTTATGCTGAAATATCAGCTAATATCGTATCAGCTATCAGCTTCATGTATCAACCAATACTGGAATTGGTAAAATCCGGTCATACTCTAGTTATAACCTGCACTGATAATAACTTAGTCAATTGGAAATTTCATGATCTCTGTTATTTTGCAAAAAGTAGAGCTTTATGATTAGAAGGTTCCATACATGATTCAGCAGAAGAACCCATCACACCAATCAATATGGACAATAGGACCATCTTGCCATCCAATTAATATGATGCACACATTGGTAGGGTTCAGATTGGACTCCAGAAAAGGCCTCATATCTATTCCCTAACAGGTATGAGAGCTTTGCCACACTTAAAACATAAAATTTTTCCTTTAAGCCTTCTTGCAGCTGGCAAAACTTGCAAATCCTGGAAAATAAACTGTTCAGACTTTGATGCAAAATGGCATCATTCACTCTAGTGATAGCTCAGTGGATCAAGTTTTTTCTATCCTCATATCTTCACTCTCCAATGGAGATTTCCAAACTTGAGCATTTAAATGGATTATATCCATTTAAAAGCTACTTAAAAACTCGTAACAATATTACAGTCTGTATCACTTTAAAAAGTGCTTTCATCCAAGTTACAGCAGGCAGAAGAAAAGCAATGATACTTGAAATATTTAATAGTCCAATTATCATTTCTGAGCCATTAAGGGCTCTCAAAGGGGCACCCATTTGTTTTGCTTCTCACTGCCTGTTACCAGGGATTACACTATTTTCAGATAAAAGTAGTACCCCTCCATAGGAGCATTTCTGTTGAATGCAGGTAGAACTACCCTTCACAAGGGTGGCTATTGGATTACATGGTGTTCATATTGCTGGTAATAAATGAATCCTCTAATAGAGGCACATTTGTTTTCTGCTACCCAGGCAAGGTACACATTCAGTCCAAAAAATTGCAAGTCAAGGTAAGAATAAATCTTCAGTAATAGAAAATAGGCAAAAATGTTCCTTTAGATGTGATGTAACAAAAGAGTATGTGCTGTAACTTGACAAACAGCTTGGCATCATTTGTCAAGTTGGCACTTGGGTCGATTGAGTCAGTGCTGAGTCAAATCTCAATCTGAAAACAGTACATAGGCTTATTATCATTTTCTCATTCCTTCACAGCACGTTCTGTGTAAAGTAGAATGCCATGCTCAGTTACTGCATGGCTGAAACCAGAATTAATATGGAGAAAGGTGCGGCTTTCATTTGTCTGAAGCCATCTAGAAAGGAGTAGTCGGCAAATAACTGGTCTTAGCAACACTTAACGTTAGGCCTACCCAAGAAGCTGAACTTTGGCTTAAAACGCAAAACTGGGATGTATGAAGTCGAATTCGCTACGACTAACAGGCCTTGTCCAGTCTATCACGAGAACCAATGGAAATGCTAGAACTACAAACGCTATTCATAAGCCTAACTTAACGTTAGGTTTAACAGAAGACTACCAAAAGGAAACCTAAACTAGCTTGGGCCTAGGAAAGCCTAGCCGAGGTGAGATAGAAGTCTGGGAGCAATAAAAAGCACGGCAATTGTAAGAGAGACTTTTTGTCTGTTTTAATATGTGGAAAAGACGACCAGGCATTGCTTTACAAGATAGTGCAGACGATAAGTCTCGTGCGCTCTGGACGTAGCCATCACTGCGACTGTCATGAGTTTCCATGACAGAAATTCTCAAAATTGTTTATTTTTGGGTCTCACCGTGTTCCTGAATATGATATTTTAAAATTGGAACATGTGTGAAAATGCTGCAGCTCGAGAAAGCCTGTGCAGGTAACACCACTTATAGAGCATCCAAAACAATGAAATTGAAAATTCGTAGAATTTTCATGTCATTTTCCATTCTACAGACAAAGTGTAGTAATAGTGATTTTCCCGGGATAGGACCGAAATTCATATTTTCCTGAATTTTTCTGAGGATGTGAATGTAAAGGCCCTGCGATTTGTAAATGCAGAGGCATAAGCTATCATTAGTCGAAAGCCCGTGTACACGCGAAGCGTTTAGATGGTAGCTGCTAGCCTTGACCACAGGGCTGGGATTGTTAAGGCAGCCACACACGATAAACCAGTTTCGTAAAAATGGACGAAACTAGTTTGGCTACGTTGAAACTAGTTCCTGAAGTTGACTCCTCACACACGTGAACTTCAGTTTCCCAGTTTCTCGCCATATCTGGACGAAGGGATTCCTTTTGGTATTTCAGCAGCAATCGTTTTTGCTCGAGCAAGCTAGAAAAAAAAATATTGGGATGAAAACTGGAGACGTGCGCGATACAGTTGCTATGGTTCATTAATTCGAGATCTGTGATCAGAGGACCCAGAGTTCTACTTGAATCTTCTGCAGATGAGTCCACAATGGTTTGAAAAGCTCCTGGATATGGTTAAGGCAGCCATCAATAAAAAGATTCAGTCATGAGAATAGCTATACGCCTACACCTGCTAATTTTCGCCTGGATTTTCGCAATAACATTGAGGTTTCCGGCTACTCATAAGTCACCATTTGTTTACCAATTGATCAATGCACGATTGATCTCTGTAGGTTTTCCAACCGAAAAATGTTCTACTTTTTTACTGAGAGATTCCTACACGAGTTGGCAGTATTCCTGTAATATTGCAAGCCAAGCTATTGAATAAATAGACTCATTTTATTTTCGTATTGGATACTGCATATACAAAGGTGCCTGACTTCTTGGAAACCTCCTCTTTTTCCATTATTTCATAAACCCTAACAGAGTGCCATTTCTTTTTCACCCTACTTCGACTGATGTTCAATATTATTGCACTTTCATCCGGTTTATGCTGCTTGATCACCTTATTGTGATGCTCTTCACGATCAACTTCCTACAAATTCTCTCAAACGGTCACAAACTCAGTAAGTTCTGCTTCCGTACCACCCACAATTTCTTAGAAACTGAATGAAAATTTGAAAAGCTGCGAAACCTAATACAGTGGATTACGCTTAATTGGGCTATCGGTTAATGGGAGCAGCCGGTTTATCGGGCGGGACATTTTGTCAGGAACGGAATCATTTCTATGCAAGTGCATTAAAATTTCGCCACATATTCGGGACGAAAATCCGCTTTATTGGGGCAAGGCCGGGGTTGGGGTCGAGGGGGAGCCGTCGGTCTGAGATGGGTTTTTCCCTCTCTTCTGCGGATTTGAGCCATTGGTTCGGGTTGGGTTTTTCCGTTTTTTTTTCTGGGGATTTTAGGGAGTAGTCCTGGGTGGGTTTTTCCGTTTTTTTGTGAATTTAAGCCATCTGTCCGGGATTGGAGTCCACATCAATGTTCAAAATGTCGAAGCGCAAGGATTTGTCCCTCTGGGAGAAGATCGTGCTCCTGGACAAGGTTAAATTACACGTTGAAGAACATACGACTCGAATTCCAGCCCCCGAACGCGACGTCGATCATCCAGCCGATGGATCAAGGTGTCATCAAGACTCTGAAGACTCTTTACAGGAAGGAACTCGTGCAGATGACTCTTGCAGCTATCGAAGACAACCTGTAAGCCCGTCGTCCGTGGCCATCGACGTGAGTTCTCAGGTCTCGCTCCTCGACGCCGTTCGCTTTGTAGCTAAAAGCTGGCGGGCTATCAAGTCAGAGACCATCGCACACTGCTTCCGTAGGGCTGGCTTTCATTCTGGATTAAAGGTGCCAGCGTCGACCTTTGAGAAAGGTTCGGTCATTCTTGATGTCACTAACGGAGAAGCTTAAGTCAACATCGACGAACACGCACAGTGCTTCGCTGAATGCGATGACTTCGAAGACGATATAATCGAGGAAATTGTTGCCAAAAGGCCTGATTTGGGGGATGACGCAGACGAGAAACCTGAGACTTTACCAAAGGTGAGGCACGTTGAGCCCAGGCGCTCAGTGAACACCCTTGGGCGCTACTTTATTGAGCAAGGATTGGGCGATAATGCACATGTTGCTCTTGACACTTGAACTGAAAAGGTCTTTAAAAAAGCCTTTTCAGACATGAAACAAGGAACTATGGACAAATTCCTTGAATCATAACTCTTGTTTTTTCGCAAATAAAGGGCGTTCGTGTCTGTGTTTCTCATAATTCTTTACTATAAGGAAACATCGCTTTATTGGGGCAGCCGCTTAATTGGGGCAAAACGACCTGGAACTAACGTGTCCCAATAAAGCGGAATCCACTGTATACCTTTTTCAGGTGATTCTCAGGTCTTCCTGCAATGACGCTAACCCGCACCCCCAAAGGATTCGCTAAGGTGATGGAAATAGGGAGAGCGCCGACTTTCCACTTTCTGGCCTTTCTGGAAGCTTCCGTTTCCTCTTATGTCTGGCGTCTGTAAGCACATGCCAGTTTCGATTCCATTCTCGATTCATTCACGATGGTGCAACTGCGAGAGAGTGATGTGAAGAGGAGCTTGCTCATTGATGCGAGACCGAATGGAAATTTCGGATCGTCAGCTTGTCAGGTTAATCAAGTTTCGCAAGTAAAGAAGTAAACGGCCGAAGAATGGTGGCGAAAGTTCCAACGAACGGGAGTTCCCGAGGACACGACGTCGCTTGTCATCTCCCATTTTTCTGCGTTCTATTCTTTTTCATCCTTAGGGGACAATGGGAGCATTAGCCACGTAGATGACGAGATGCTAGACTCCATTGAGATTCTCATTCGAGATGAACCCGCGTCATCCATCCGAGAAACGAAGGCGCGTCATCGCATGATGCTTCGAGGTGCGCCCCAGGCGTCTGACGGAACCATCAGAGTCGCAACGAAAAAGAAGCTTGGTCTGTTTCTCGAGCGAATTCGGAAGCAGACGATCGCCGCCAACTCCCACCGTACGTTAGGCGCACGTCAAGAATACGCTATGGAATTCGTAGCACCAAGAACTGGTTTTCATCGAGGAGGGGCGAATTTCACCGTTGTGGCTGCAATATCCCCTTCTCGTGGACTTTTGCAACACTTTTGCAGCACTTTTGCAACACGACTTTTGCAACACCAGACCATAGTCAGGTGTCACACGTGTTTTGCGTCTGCTGAGTTTTTGGATAAACATAGTGCCATCATCGGACCGGACAATGAATTCATTTTCGCGTTGGACAATGCTCGAGTGCACGAAATTCCTCGATACCCAACCCACTCCAATCATTTCCTTCCCCCCCCCCCTTACAGTCACTGGTTAAATCCCATGGAATTCACGTTCTTGCCTTTCAAAGCAGAAGTGAAGCGGCGGTTTGTGCTTTGCTAACCTTCAGTTGGTAGTCACAGCAGAGATGGCTCTTACGAGATATCTCTTAAGATTTGGCCTGGTGGTCTCTCTTGGTTTCTCAGTCTAGAGTCTAGACTATCGGAAGGTGAAACGGAGACACAACGACTTGCACTCGCCCCTCCTCGTCCTGTTCCCCATTCAAATGCCCCTGCGTGCTCCTTTTGGCGTGCGGGTTGCCTGAATGGCAGGTATGCCTGAGAATCACCTGAAAAAGGTATATTAGCTTCACTAAACCGAGAAACTGATTTCGTGTAACTAGTATTTCAACACACACTGCGAAAATATCGTGAAATTGGTTTCTCGTGTGTGGCTGCCTTTAGAAGAATAGAAGCAGGGCCGGTCCTAGCCATTTCGGCGTCCTGTGGAAAGAGACTTCCAACGCCCCTCTTCCCTCAACCCCCTAGCCCCCCCTCCCCGAACACGTTTTGATCAAGATGGATTTCCGTTTTCTGAGGTAAAACTGAGGGTGGCTTCCATTATATCAATAGCTTCATTCGTTCGGTCACGTTTTGGCGTCCCTGGTGAATTTGCGCCCTTGGCACATGCCTAAGGCCGGTCCTGGATAGAAGTGCAGTCACCCCTCGACACCACAGAAAAGAAAGAGAAACCACACGCCGAGTAGGCTTCATGATACCTATTCAGCCTTCTAATTTCAAAGCAAACCGGACGCAGTCTCCCGGTGACGTTGGCAGGATTTTTGGAAGAGGGACTCAGAATAGGAGGAGTCATGACAGGCGGAGGAAGGGGGAGGAGGGGGGGAAGAGGGAACTTTTTTAGCAAGTTGGTGTGGGGGAATGCCAAGAGCCAAGCGCCCTTCCCCCCACCCCCCGGTACGTCTAGGGGGTGACTCAAGTGGAAATATTAGCTCGGGGGAGTTTCAGTATTTTTTTTTTCCATTAAGATCACTACCATCAAACTTTGACGAGCGAAACTAAGGTTTTCACATAATAAATGGGGACTTTCTGTTGAGATATATACAGGGTGTCCCAGAAACCCACCCCTAAGTTTTGTACATTATTATGTCTCTATTTTTTTTTCTGATGGAAATGAGCTTTATATCATTCGAAAGCCTAGACCTTTTTTTTTAACTACTGCTGTTAAACCTGACGGGGTCGGGTTTCTGGGACACCCTGTAGGTAGGTTGAGATCGTTCGGGTACCCCGAACATTTCAAGCGTACATCAAAACTTATTGATTCTCCTGAATTTAATTGCAATCGCCGAGGTAAAAATTTTGTGGTCGCTCGAATTGCCTCTTTTGCTCACGGAATTGCGAGTTTGCCACCTGAACGCGACTGAGTCTGTTGCCCTTTCTACCTTTCTTGATTCAGAAGTAACAGTTATATCTATTCATTCTATTCCTTGAACTCGAACTGACGGATTAAATTAACTAAAAGGTATCTGAATACCATAATAGGAACACCTTTACTTCCAATATTAGACTTAAACATGTGAACCATAATTTTCAAGATTCAAGATTCAAGATAGTTAGTGACATCAAGAGGGGATTTCGCCCATTTCGATATCACGTGTCGAGGTCGAGCGTTCCTTAATTTTAGGGNTGTCCAGAAACACTGCCCCCTCCGCGATACATAACTCCTTCAACCTGTCTTTAACCCCTTCCTACCTGGACCAAGTGATTCCTCCCTTGTCTAGCCTGCTCGGGATCGCCCATACCGTCACCCGCACCCCCGACCTTGCCTCCCGACACGCCCTAATAGCCTGCCTCAGCCTGCCCATGTTGAGTTCAGAGCCAGACTTGGGAGTATCGTTGGTCCCTACGTGAAGGACCACCGACACTTCCTCGGCTGACTCGGAGCACACCACCGATCCGATCCTATCCCTAATGTATTCAATCCTAGCACCGGGAAACTGACTGAAAGAAACCTGAACTCCTGGATCTTTTTCTATCGCTCCCTCAAGACGCCTGACGTTCGAGTCACCGACGATTACAAGGGCCTGAGTTTTTCCTCTCCCTTTCAGCACGGCCTGAGCTTGTCCTGCCGACCTCACACCTGTTCCCACCCCGCCCTCCGTTCCCTCATCCAAGCTGACCTCCCTCAACCCGAGAAACTTGTTTTCGGTCTTAATGACTGCCTCCTGGGATCGCTTAACCTTCGCCGCCTTTACGACCTGAGCCCAATTACTAGTCACCTGGGAGTCGGCACTCGACGCGCTGTCAAAGGATTTTCAGCACGTGCTAACCTCCTAAACACAGTCTCGTTGGCAACATCAGTGTTTCAGTCCCTGTTCGGAGTTCATGGATTATTTCCTCCTGCTGACTGGGGCTTTTTGCCATAAACTTTGGTCTTGATATGTACCCAATGAAAATTTCCAACGGAGTCTAATCCGGGGAACTAGGGGAAATACAACACTTTCTGCAAACTGGGTAGGTCGTTGAGGACAGCCGGCATGAGTCCCTCATTCTCTGGAGTTCACTCTACTGGATTTTTTAATTACGATTTCATATCAATATCTAAGATTATGCCAGAACGCCAGATCGTCTTGGTTGACTGAAGAATAGAGTCTGCAATTAAAGTAATCAATTGATGGACTATCTCTAAATTGGCCGATGCGACAGCGTAAAGGCGGTTAGTGTGTTGAAAATGACAGTGCACATGTTCAAGCCTATTATTAAACGTTTTTATGGTAAACCTGTCCGTGTATGGTATGGTAAAATATGGCGCAAGAAAAGCCTCGAAGTTTAAGGAATTCGGAAGCATTTTTATTTCTTAAATTTACATTATTGTTCAAATAAAAAATAAAAAATACATCAGTTACTTCTGACTCCCTCCGTACCTCATTTTGTAGTAACGCGTCGTCAGCAGAAACGATCATGCCATGAACTTCATCGTTGCTGTTTTCTGCACCTTGCAACTATATGACCTTCAGGGACAGGGCAAATCCCATTCAATTTTCAGACTTTCCTAAAAGAGGTCTATGGCAATTTCAATGATTTCAACGCATTTTTTTTCTCGGTCGGAAGGATAGTCATTTCTTATATTTTTGCGCCAATTAAATTGCGCAAGTATCTTCCCGAGTAGCACAAAAGTTAGTGGATCATAAGCGGCCCAGGCACTACACCAACGGATTTTTACCAGGGGGCGGGAACGTGAGGGAAAGTAGGACATGCAGTTACTGGCCCGCTACCTACTGTAGGTGGAAGGCCACCAGCTCTCTTCCCATAACCCCTTAAATGGATCGCCGCATATGTGCGGTCTGGCACCTGCCTTCTCTCAATGGAATCACCGCACATATGCGTTCAAAAGTTCCCAGTTAAGGGGTTAATGTAGCTGGGCACTCCCCCAGATGCAATTCCAAGCGTCCCCACTAGATGGTACTCCCGTTTCCTGCACCCTACAATTGCAATGAAGTACTGCCTTCCTGATTTAGAAAAGTATTTCTTCTTGTTTTTCCTCTTTTTAATGTGTAATTTATAACAGATACTAGGAAAGCGTGGAATTATGATGTTTTGATTGCAATAAAAGACTCGGAGAATTATTAAATGCTGAAGTTAAGTATGGGAATTCAGAAGTGTACAGGACTAAGGAAGGATAGAAAAACTTCGATTGTTAGTACCATATGTGTGTAGTACATCACCGTTTTCGAAAACTTGCTTTCGCCCCTTTCTCCCCCTCCCCTCCTTGAGCAATGGGTCAACGTTGTACAATAGGGTAATTCTTATGAGTAGGCTCCAGAGTCAGGATATATAAGTGAATCGAGTGGAATGTACATGGAGGCATTAGGACTCTTCCCATCTGGTGATACACCACAAACGAGCTAACTGGTAATGTGCTGGCCCTTTAGCGGCCAGGAAGGTGGCGGGTCAGTGTTGGCAAGGGCGATATGTACCTGGTGGCCCACGACCAAGTGAAGTTGGTGGGCGACCAGCTCTCTCCCCCAAATGCAGGTAGTAGGCCACCACCTACGTGCTACTTGGGTTCAAATGACCTTTCGACTGATCATATAAAATCTATTCTAGTACCCAGTTTTAAAGCAATTTACAAATACCATATTAATGAATACAGGGTGGTTGCTAGTAGCTCACAGCATAGCAGACCTGTTCATGCGAAAATTAATATAATGTTCACTAAACCTTTTTTTGTTGCGAAAGAGAAGCTGAAAATGAGTTGAGAATAGGTGGATACACTGCGCGTCGCACTTTCTTGTTCCAGCAAGTTTTACGACATCTGTGTCTATATACCGGTCAGCTGGGTACTGGTCACTCTGGCGCAATCCTGCCTTTAACACCGCGTGGAGTTTATTTATTTATTTATTTTCCAGTTCGCAATTCCCTTGAGGAGACAACCCTCAGCCATGAATTGTTTCATAGTGTGAGGGCTGCGTTTGATGTCAATACAGGTTTGTCTGGAAGCCTTATCTCAGAAACTCGGATTGTTCTCTGTGGAATGAGAAAATGCCAGAGTTCAACATCAATGGATATCTTGTGGATTTCCCCTACGAACCCTACTCGATTCAGATGGATTACATGAAATCCGTTATTTCATGTTTACATATGGTGAGATTTTCGTCTTAGAGCATCAGAAATATGGCTTGCTTAGTTTAAAAGCCACCTGTTAGCAAGGCCTAACATTTAGCTGGGTAGAGCCTAGCCTATTCAAGTATCAAAAGTCCTGAATATACTTCAACACCCAGGTTACGTTATATACCCAGCTTCATTAATTTTTTTCCTCATTTCCATTTCCTAGAAACATAAAAAAACCCACAAATTCTGAGGTGTGGGAGGAGACAATCTGGATGAGACAGATAAGAAAAGAAAGAAAATAGATATGGACATTACCCAAGAGTAATGGAACCTAGGAACCAAGAAAAGCTTCATTAGGATACCTAGGTTGGAAGATTAGTTTTTATTATTTACAAAGTATTATACTCAGTGGTGTATTTTTAGGTGTGCAGGCACCACCCAGGCATCCCTTGAAACTAGCTAGCAAATTGCCTATGATTTTTTTGTCCCTTGAGAACCTTCTACCATCCCTCCCCCCCCTACCCATTCTTGGCAATGTCTTTTCTGCTACCTGGCCCCCCTTGGTTCATGAGCAAAAATACACCACTGATTATACTTATTGCACAGAGATTTTGTAAAACCTGCATCAAGGCTATAATTCTGATATGTGAATCCTTTCAGCATGTGGCAGAAGAGTTCAATTTAAAATTTTTTTCTCTCTTGGCAACTTGATCTGACATACTTTAATTTCATTCCAGGGTGTGAATGGTATCCTGGAAAGTCCAACAGGAACTGGTAAAACAGTTTGCCTTCTTTGTGCATCACTGGCATGGTTGCAGACAAAGAGAGCAAAAACACAAGCTGCTGCCCTAGTGAAAGGCCAATCTCACCTTGGTTTTGGGCATAGTGACTCTCCTGAATGGCAAGCAGGTCTCAGAACATTTATTTTTGTCTCCTACCTTAGTCATGCAGTGCCCTGAATGCCAAAAAGGGGGAAAATTGGTATTAGGCTATTTTCTGCTGTGGCTACATTTACATTCCTTTGAATTATGCATCCCCTTCCAATAAATTTTGAACAATCACATTTGGCATTGATGTCTTTTTCCTGTCTTCCAAGATGAAGCAAGCCACCCTCTTTCGCCTTTTCAGATTTGAGAATGCCATGTAAAGTGAGAGATTGGCTTTGATTGAGTTTGAAATTAATTGACAAATGGTAGGGGAATCATCTAAACCTTTTAAACCTAAAGCACAACTTTAAGTTCATCAATGGTAACATTATATTTCATTTCAAATAGTTCTGATGTTTTCATCTGATGCCAAAATTGATAAACAGTTTTTGGCACACTTTATAATATAACTTTGTATTAATATTTAAAAGTGAATATTCATTCACTTAGCCTCATTTTGGTTGAATGTTGAATATCAGTGGTAATTCAATGCACCTGCTCCTGCACCCAGACAAAGTCATGATGTGACAAGAATTTTCACTATCTGGCAGATTTCCTATTCATGTTTCTTTTTCCTATTTTCAGCAAATTTCCAGTTTCTTTGCCCTTGGACTTAAATTGCACTGGTTCACTGGTGTCCCAGACTATTGTCCATGTTGGTGCTCTCATGTATACTTGAGGGAAACACAAAGACATGGAAGAACAGAATGCTTATTGTGGATTTTGCAACTTCCATTCGTTGTACTTTTTCAGGCATTCCTTCAAGAGAAAGTACTCAGATAATCTTTTCTTCACGAACCCATTCCCAGCTAACACAAGTGATTAAGGAACTGAAGAATACACAGGTTAGAATGCCATTTGACAATTCAATTGAAGAATTCAAATTTGATAGTGATCTTGATTGATCCATAGAAGACAATATATGAATGCAATGAATTTTCATTCCAGTATCGATGGGCTAAAGTTGCAGTGCTGGGATCAAGAGATCAATTGTGCATCAATCCAGAAGTTCAGAGTGAGAAAAGTAATGCAGGGAAAGTGCATATGTGTCGAGCCAAAGTACAGTCCCGGACTTGTGTGTTTTACAACAATGTGGAAAAGCGAGTGCAGGATCTGAGGTGGGAGGATCGTATCATGGACATAGAAGATCTTGTGAAAGAAGGTAGAAAGAACATTGTCTGCCCATATTATGCCTCAAAGAATCTTCGTCCAACTGCTGACATTGTATTCATGCCGTACAACTATCTTCTTGATCCAAAAGCAAGAAAATCTCATAACATTGAGCTCAAGGTATAGGCTTAGCTGAGTTCTTCACTGGTGAAATTCAACTGAATGTGATTTGTCTAGTGTTCACTCCTTCAAAATCTTCATTTGCTTACAGGGTAATGTGGTGATTTTTGATGAGGCTCACAATCTGGAGAAGATGTGTGAAGAGTCTGCTTCTGTTACCTTGAGAAATTCAGATGTCGCTCTCTGCATTGAAGAAATCACTCAGGTTTGGACTTATTTCCAAAATACTTAAAGCAAAACAATTGGCATAGGCCCAGTTCATTATGCTGGCTCCTCATCTCATTCACAAAATTCTACATAAGCCAACCTTGTAATATGTAGTTAAGTCTTGTGAAGCAGTCTAAAAAAAAACACTTGCCCTAAACCTACCTCTCAGCCTATATTTAGACAGGTAGACCTGTCTAAATGATAAGGCTGCTAAACAATTGCTCTATAGACTGAAGTTCTATAGGACAATTGTTTAGATTGCCCTATATAATATTCCATTTTTGTAAGTACTTCACAAGGATGGGTCAAAGAGTTCAAACCAGTATTCAGGAAAATGCAACAGAAAACAGTAAGGTTAGAGTGGAATTGCAAATATTTTCTAGTAACCAATAAATACCTGGATGGCTGAAGAAAAGTTCCTACCTTTACATACTTGCAGACGGAACATCATATGAAATAGCAGGAGAAAATTGACAGGGTGTCACATTCAACATATATTATGAATTCATGAAAATTTAAATGAAATTATTATTTTTTAGACCTTTTTTGGGGTGGCATCAAAATAGCAAGTGTGTCAGTGTGTAAATCCTGGCTGGTTGCTTGTAAATAATGGGTCTTACCCAGCCCCAGTCCAGATGAGCCACCAGATGTAGACTTAATCATTTGACATTGTGGACAAAAGCTATAATGTAGGTTCTGAGTGACTGATTTCACATTAGTTTTTGCGAACCATATACACTTGTTGTATTAATATATGACATTAATACTTTCTATACATTTCCCTCTGAAATCTTTTATGGGATTCAATTTATAGTCATGCAGAGTTGGGAAATATTTTTTGGACTGCTTAACATCTAGCAAGTGATAGTAGCTTTCCAAAAAAAGTTCAATGAAATAAAGAATTCAAATTCTGAGTAATTTTTTTTTTTTTACATGTCAAATAGGTGAGTGGCTTTCTGCATTTGTCTGTTCATCTGAACTGGGGTAGGGAAAGTCCCATAATGCAGGGAGCAAGATGCCATGGTTTGCACATTTGTGCACTTGCTATTTTGACATGTGAAAAAAAAAAGGCTGTTAACCAGTTCATAGTGTAGAATTTAATTGAAATTGTTATGAACCTCTGCAGATTCTATCCAATCTTTGTGAGAACACTCATGTTTATTTTTTGAAATGGGAAAAGATGGACTATACACCCTTTCAAATGCTGACTATTGGGTTTAACTTCATCTGCAGATTACAGAATACATGAGTGGAGGAGGAAATCCATTCTCTGGGCCGACCTCAGAAGTGGACTTCAGTATTGAGGATGCAGCTGTGCTGAAAGCCATGATGTTGAAACTTGAGGAAGTGTTGGATGAAATCTCTGTATCAAACAAGGACTCTCAACTAAACATTGCAAAAGGTAAAACCCATTTTCTTTTGGATGTCTTACAGCTGCTTGGGAAGTAGGCTTTTGTAAGCTTTTCATGGTAATTAAACATGAAATTCCTGAAGTTTGCAACTGTTTCTAGATAGAAATCTTGCTTCTGAGGTAAGCTCAAAATCTATACCTTTTGTTTTCCTAGCAGACAGCTCAATATTGGGACTCCAAGTTGCTTTGTAGGTCAGGGCAAGCTACTTGCAATGCTGCAAGATGGGTCATAAATAGGCCATGTATGCACTATCTCACCAAAATTTAAGAGCTCTACCCTCCACCTTAATGTACAGGGTGCCATGAGATAATAGCCCCACCTCTACAGATGAAACTGAAACTGATGTGAAAAATCCAATGACAGAACTGAATTCCTTGTTATTCCACATTATTCAGGGTGTTCCAAAAGTGGCACAACCCTATATACAGCATTTTTTTTGAGAAACTTGAATTGGGTATTGAGTGAATTCAGAGATGAATTTCTGAATGATGTTTTGATAACATTCAGCATTTACAGTTTATGTGAAAAATACTGGACCCACAATACCTAATGCAATAGTTAATGTATAAGTATTCCAGTTAAATATATAACAGCACTTGCTTATATATGTGGTTGTGTGACTTTTGAAATACCCTGTATAATAATTTCAGAACTTACGTTTCCACCATTTGCATTACAAATAGCTACAAGTTTGTCTGCGTATGATTTCAAGAGAGGGTGGAAAAGTCCACTATCATTTTTGTCATTTTCTAAAACACTTTAAACATAGTGTACTATTCTCTCCCTCAAAAACCAGCTGTAAAGTAGCTCCTGCAGCATCAGAACTTCCATCCTATCCCCCAAGGATAGCTCCCATATGTTCACACATTCTAATCTGGTGAATTGCCACAGTCATCAAAGAAGTTGCCTTCATTGTCATGGAGCAGTTGCTGTATTGCAAGAGCCCCTGTGCATAGAGCTTCATCATGGACGAACATCATCTAAGAATGTCATCTTGTCTTCATTCCAGTCATGGAGATAATTGGAATATCACAGTCTTCATTATTCAAGAGACTTTTCCATAGCTTGGAGAACTAATGGAAGGGCTTCAGACCTTCCTCATGGCAGAATTATTAGACATTTTCCCTGCTGACACTTTGCTCATGAATCTCTCCAGCAAGGTAGCTGCAATCCTCCTTCTTCCTGCCAGAAACTTCTTGAATGATCTCCTTAACCCTTTGAGGAGTGGGTTTTGTTAATGCCTGGAAGATCACCCATAGTGAATACATGGAAGGCAGGAGGATGTCAGCCCGTATATATATATATATATA